ATGAAATAGAAAACCCATATACGTATTTAAAAAAATAAAGATGATGGTTCCAGAAAAACGAAACCTCGTAAGTGATTTTGCACATCACTATGAAACTAAGAAAGTGTCTTTGAGAATGTATTTGTAGATTTTTTCTAACTGGTGAAAAATAAACTCGTAAAAAATAAAAGTGAAAATCGGAAATTTCAGTTTTGCTGCCATATTCCCAGAAATGACAAAGATAAGTTCAATTGCTAAATTAATTATCACTATCACTAACATCACGATCACTAACAGGCAACTTTGCCCCAATTTATGCCATCCTGTACCTCTTACTGTTTCCGGGATCCCAATGTATCGCTTACCTCGTAGGGACTGTAACAATACACAGATTAATAAGGTATCCATTCGAAAACATAAATAAAATCGTAAACATGACGTATGGCACATCATAGAATAATACTGGTATGTGAAACCTTGGCTGGACGTTGCAATAAGTCAACAGCGGAATAAATCCTATTCTAAGGATCGCGATTGCTAACACCACCCATTCGTGGTTAGGCTGAAAGTTTATAACCAAAATTTTTATTTATTTATTTTTATTTATTTTGTTTTTTTATTTATGGTTGGTTCATATTTTGAGTATTAGCCTTAACCTTTCCCTTAGCATTAACCCTAAGAAATTAACCTTACAGCTTCATTCAGAATCTCGAAATTAGTGGTTTCAATTAGCGTAGAAGTTTGTACCTCTAATTTCAATGTAAGCATTCAGAACGGCTAAAATTAGTGGTAGTAATTTTCAGTTAGTGGAAAAAGTTAATAAACTATTAACTTTTGTTACTAATTATACTTCAAAATTTGCGAGCAATGTCATTTTGGCCTTTTGATTGTCATCCGCCAAGAGAAATTGTGGTTAGAAATGAAAAGTTTATTGTTTTATAAGTTAACTATTAAGACTACCGCCAGCTGTTGCTAGGATATTTTATTAATTTTTGATTGTATTTTTTAGATATTGTGAATGATCGTAAATTTTTAACTATAAAGTAGGTATAATTGAAACAACTAATTTATTCCACTAATTTCATGGTTCTAAATGAGGCTTAAGATCTTAAGGAAATGCCGTTCATACTTCTTTTACTTGACATAAGAATATTTTAGTATGCGCTTGTGCTCATATCGTCGCCTTCCATACGCAGTGTCGTATCTAACATTTTTAAAATTGTACAGAAGAGCAAAAGAACGTCTTATGGTGTAGCAGACAAAATAAATGGCATATCTAACAAAAGTTAATTTTAAGATCACACTAAAAGACATTTTTTTCGCTCTGCTGTAAAATTTTTAAGTGTTAGTTACGATACTGTGTGGAAGGCGATGATTTAAAAAGAATTTCTTGAATTAACCTAACTTTACAAACATTTTTAGAATTTAAAATACTAGAGAGCCTAATTTTCATAATTATTACATTCGCTTATTTGTTAATAAACATTAATAATTTCTAGACCAAAAAATAGATAATTATTAACGTTTATAAACCGTCAAATTCAACACGTAAAATATTATTTCAAAAATTCTTAAAACCCGTAGTTTTAAGCATGCGCAAGTTAATTTTATATTACTATTAGCACTAAGAATATAAAATATGCCATATTTCTTAGTACCCGTTAGGACTAAAGCTAGTATTAAGTTCGATGTGTTAGAAGCATGAACGCTAACCTTCGTTAATGTTGATTCATATTCTTGGGATTAGGACTAATGTTAGTGTTTTAAGATCGGAACCATGAATTAATGAACCATCCATTAATTTTTTTTGTTTGAATCAATTTTTACCTGCTTTATTTTTGTTGCCAAGTGTCTTCCAATTAAATCGCAAAGGTTTGCGACTAGAAATGTTACCACTGGGACAAAATAGAACTCTGTAAATAGAAAGTTTATTATAAGTATTATCTTATATTGAGGATTAAGTGCGATCCACACGGAACGATGTATCGAACGATTTGCTTGCGTTGATAAAACGTTACAGATAAAACGTACAGACGAAGTTATGTCCGCATTGCAACGACTAGTCTTTCAGTCTTTTGATTCTGTCATATCATCATGGAGGAAACACTCCTTGTGGTTAGTTCTTGTTATTTGTTTAAACTTTTCAATAATAATCTTGTAGGCCTGATTTTTCTTTTTCCCTGTCACTGTATTCTTATTAACTGACTTAAATTAAAATAAAAACCATAAACAAATCGTTGTACCGTCCACACGGTACGACTTCTATGTAAACCGCCGAAACCTATGCCCATGAGTTCAAACTGTTAAATCTTCCGAGTTTGTGCACTTCTAAAATTTGTTCAAATTTGCTATTCACGCGCTACGTTTTATCTATAATGTTTTGTAGACCCAAGCAAATCGTACGATAAATTGTTGCTTCTGGAGACTTAATGCACTTACCTGCCCATTTGTTATCACTAATTCCGTCACTAAGTTCAGCAACGACTAGTGACATCACACCAGGGTACATTATTGCGGTGGTACCGGACACTATAACCAATGAGATCATGTAGATTCTGGTGTTCTTCAAGGGATGTTTGGCTTTGGTCCACATCCTTACCAGGAATCTACGACTTGGTTGCACGGTATGTTCCATGGGATCGTTACCGACATGGTAGATGAAGTATTGCGAATTTTTTTTGGAATATGTGTAGATTGATAATGTCACACAGACCATTGCAGTACCTAGAAAAAAGTATATTCCGTTATACATACCATCCTGGACACTTCGTCTACGTGGTCTGTATTTTAACGCATACGATAGAGACTGGTTGAGATAAATGACCCGTTGACAGACAGAGAGACAAAATAAAAAGCGGCACACAGTATTGCCGGTTTTTAGCAGTGTAAGAAAATATGAGTAGAAAAAGAATAAACTATTTTAAAAAAATCCATGTATACTATTGAAATGAAGATAATATATCTAAGCTAAATGTAATCTATTACAGCTGTAGAGTAACTAATTGTGAAAAATAAAGTTCTAGTCCTAGATGCAACGTTTTTCATAAACGCCTACTTGTGCGGTTTGAAATTTTTATGCAAAATCCGGCAATACCGCAAAGAAAAGAAATATGTTTGAACCCAACTTTTATCTCTTTTTAATACATTTGATTTTTCATTAAGCTGTTTACATTGCTGTCATACACGTTAAATTCCAGACTACGCATTTACGATGAACACGATGTGCACGCAAAGCAGGGTAGGCAAAAATTCGCAAAATGATAAGACTGGCATAATAAACAATATCATTATTTTACTCTAAATTGGGGGAAACATTTTTAAGATTTTGCATCACTGCCCAGGACGGCGATCGACGCGGAAGAAATTAAATCACGCATTAATTCCTTATTCTATCTCTTTCTTACATATTAGCCTTCAATTCATTGCGGTCTGAGGAGTACGTAGAAGATTCACTTTAATATCCCATTAGAGGCATATAAAGTAAATCAATCCGCCTTCACGTAAATCATATAGAGGGTTTTAATGGGAAATATTACATATATAGGAATTGTGCGATAACGGCAGTAATCGAAAATGATTTAAATATGTCTTAGGTAATCTCTACAATAAAAATAAGATAAAAAATGCTTATTCCGCATATTTCTTGGATTAGTAATGCGTTATAAAGTAATGATATAAAAAAAGTTTTATAATCTGTTAAATTGAAATAAAAGAAACTTACCGATTCCAAAAAATATGAATCCTCCTAGCATGGGGGAATCACTGCTAAGACTGATGGTTATAATTTGAATTATAGCCGATATCACACCGCACAGCGCTTGAGCTGTCAAAATGGCAGAGTAATATTCTGAAGGGAAATTACTGACCATCTCGAATAAACTGACTATGATTACTGCACCGCAAACTGAAAACCATTGAAAGGAAAATTAGTCTGGATAAAGTTATATTTTGGATTTATGTCTATACATGGTTAAAAAGTTAATTTTTTCTACTACTTACTTCCTAAAAAACAAGCGATGCACATTACGATTAGGAAGAAGGCTATTTGAACTGCAAAAAAAATAGAAGTTAGATTATTTAATGGGG